AGAGAGAGAGAGAGAGAGAGAGAGAGAGAGAGAGAGAGAGAGAGAGAGAGAGAGCTGATGTGAGCCTGAGATTGCGTGAGACTGAATCTGTACGGGATTCTGTGGGGCATGTCTTTTTTCAGTGCTGTGATTTCTGCTGAGGTTTACACAACTTTACGGTTCTCGTGGAATGCAGCTGGGCATCCTCCGGGAAGGGGATGGTCCCTTTTGACTCTTTCGAGGGATCCACAAGCCCAAATCAAGAATGGGATGGCCGGTAGGCAGGCATGCAGCTCAATGACATGCAGTCGGCCAAATGCACAGCCCAAAGCTGCCCCAATGTATTCTGACCAATTTAGTTTTGGCAAAGCATATTGTCTTCCTTCGGGACATCGGTACAAATTTAAAATTGGAACGATACACAGAGAGAGAAGACTAGCATGGTCCCTTTTTAAGTAAGTATGACATGCATGACATGCATAAATCGAAAATCGAGAAATGGCGAAGCCAAGCATATTGCCAACGCAGGACCATCTGGGACGAGCTGCCGCTGACCCTGATTGATTGTTTCCAACCGCAGATTAAAAAAGATCAATGGCCAGAGATCAAGAATCCTGGTATGTCGACTGCGGCCACGGCAGCGGCCACGGAGAGGGTCATGGGGGTGTGATTGATTTCTATTTTGTTGGCTGGGATTTTGGGGCTGAACTTCTAATCAATAGCTCTAATCACTGACAGGTGTGATTGAAGTTATTCGCAGCACAAAGCAAAACTTTAAGAAAGAAAAAAGGAAAGAACCTTCGACAACAGAAGAACTTGAAGTTGTTTCCCTATTTTGGGTTGAAGTTGTGTATTGCCCCTTTTCTCGAATAATTTCAATTGTGTGTGTCATCGATTGGCAAGGGGCCAAGGGCGATGATAATCTTCTGTATTATGGTCCCTCGGATCGAACACTGAAAGAGATCATCGCTCTGTGTATCTTCCCCCTTTCCCATAAATGTGGCTTGGTAGCATGGCTGTGTATCTTCCTCCATTCCTGGAAGTGTGGACAGAACACTGAAAGAGATCATCGCTGTGTGTGTCCCACTAATGTGGCTTGGTACCATGGCTGTGCATCTTCCTCTTTCCCATAAATGTGGACAGACCACTGAATCAGATAGAGAGCATGGCTGTGTGAATCTTCGCCCTTTCCCATGAATGTGCCTTGGTACCATGGCTGTGCATCTCTCCCTTTCCCGTAAATGTGGACAGAACACTGATAGAGAGCATCGCTGTGTGTATCTTCGCCCTTTCCCATCAATGTGGGTTGGTACCAATGTCCGTACCATGGCTGTGTGTCTTCCCCCTGTCCCATAAAAATATGGCTTGGCATGTTCACAGTTCACGATCATTTCGTACACAGTGTTCTATTCGGGCGAAGAATCCAGCTGACTGTTGTGATAGTGAGCTGAAGCCTTAGGGAAGTCAGGGCGAAGTGCACAAAGGCTACTTAGGCTAGTGCACTTCAAAGTTCATAGTACTTCATACTGGCCTGACTTACACCGTGTGTTTGTTTGCACGCTCCAGAAAAATTTGCAGGCTTAGGGGTCATGGTGGATGATGATTGGTGGTGTGAAAGCGGGAAGGGAGGATTAATAAATTACTACAATGCCTGGGTCACTCTGGCCCTCTGGCTGTGCTGTCACTGCTGTGTAAATTTGTTTGTTTGTCTCGGCTGTCTGACTGACTCTGACCATCTGCAGGCAAAGGGATACCGTTGATGGAATGACGGCGATGGTGGCAGCAAAGCTTGTAAGGGAGTTAACAGCAAAGATGTCAGTCTTGTAGACATGTATTGTGGAGCAAGGCTTCATCAGTCTTCATCTTGTGCTGTGCTGTTGGCGAGAGATTATAAGACATCGAAAGCTTAAATATGGTGGTACTGGAGGTGTAGCCTGGAGGTGGAGGTGGAGGTGGAGGTGGTTCTCTCAAAACATTGAAAGCTTAATTATGGTGGTAACCTTGTGGAGGTGGAGCGGCACTGGAGCCTGGAGGTGTGGAGGTGGTGGCGGTGGCAAAGAACGCAATTGTCATGGCGCCAGAGGACCTCAGCAGTCTGAAGAACAGAATCGGATGTCATTGTCCAACGGTACACGTTCAACCTACTAGTCTGTCCTTCTTTATTGTGTGTACTACCATCTTCATCCGAATAGAATGCCTGGTCGTTAGAGCTGTATTCGGGAATTCCGGGGCAACTTTCAGTCCAGATGCAGCAATAACGACTGCCGGTGGGATGTTCTATTCGAAATTCGAATGAAGACGGTTAGGCTGGATGCATAGACAGCTACGAGGAGAGGAAGTCCCTTGTTAATGACAGGACATTCTGCTGTAACAGTTGTGGACTCCCATTTGTAGTCACTACCCGCAGCACTATAGTGGTAGGTTCTAAATGAGTTAGTGCTTGGCAAAGTTGGCATGGCGGCGATGGCGCATGTGGTGAATACGATGTCAGAATATCTGCGGTGACTCAGTGGCACTGAGAGTTTGTCGGACTGTGGAGAGCACTGGCCTGTGAGGTCGTCAAGCTGAAGGAACTTCAAGGAACTTGAAGGAACTTGAAGGAAGGGCAATGGACATGAATGGGCTCTGAGGCTCGCCACGGAGAATGCAGTGCTTCGCTAAGTTCAAGTTTCTTCATGTATAACCTGGCCAGCTGGTAGTGCTTGCTGTTGGGAAGGGTATGTATGTGGTGCCAGCCTGCCAGGTGTTTTGCTGGGAGACTCAGTACGATTTGATGAATTGGTGCTTCGACGGTTTGTGCTGACAGGTACTACGCTTTGTGTCATTTAATCAGGCATTAAGGGTGGCTGTAAAAAAGGTTCAGGAGTGAGTCTTCAATGCGCTCACTGCTCAGTCGCAATGATTTGAGCGTTTTTTTTTATACGATTTGCAGAGTCGTTTGCTCGGTTGGTGTTCGCTTAGCAATCACTCTTTTCGTAACAAGGGCCTTCCAGTTATGGATAAGGCGTGCTATAGTATGTTGAGTTGCTGCTTGAGTGTTCTTTAATTTACTCTGTGCAATTTGCATGCCTCTTAAAAGCTGTCTTGACTCTTGAGGGATAGAGTTGTGATGATTTGAACTTGTTTTTATGTGGTGACTGCGCACCCTTTTTTTTTTTTTTTTTTTTTTTTTTTTTTCCCTCCCTTTGTGGCTGGTCAACTTGAAGGCTGCCCTAGGTATTAGTGGTGTGTTTGGAGAACTTTGGAGAAGTTTGGACCAGGCGCAGTTTCATCGAGTTCCACACGATTTGACCTGCCAGTGGCTTGTGCAGTCGCGGACGGCCGTGCCTTGACCACTGACCACTACTAGTTTCATGGAGTTCCCAAGTTATGCTGCCTTGACATCATGATGGCTCGTGCAGTGGCCCGTCGAGATTGGACTCTGTCACTCTGGACCTGAACCTGAACCTGTCTGATAGAGGACTGCAACAACGAGTTGAATGAGTTGAAGGTGGTGTATGCGCTACTATGCAGCAGCTGGTCAAGGCGCATTACACAGGTAGTGTCTGGACCAGAGAACCTGGTCCAGTGTCTGGACCAAGACCACTCTCAGTTGAAGTGTATGCACTGGCTGCTGGGCAACTTGAAGGTGCATTACGGCAGGTACTAGTGTCTGGACTCTGGACCAGGACCACTGCTGCAGCTCTGGACCAGGACCATTCTTATTTTTATCAGAATGTTAACGAGAGCACTGATGTGACATCGCGGTGGGGTTGGTTTATTACTGTTAATGATTATTCTTACCAGGTGGTGCACGCTGCACAGGAACACTGGGGAGTGTTACGCCCCCGACCCACCAGCTATATGGGCGCGGCACTTTCTGAGCACGCTATCGTTGCTTTGCGAGACACGGCCACTTCCAATTGCCGTTATTTCATTCTCTGTACGGTTCAATTTTAGAGGTAGGATTTATCCGAAGAGCTGACGATGACAATTTTAGGATAGTGTGCTCAGAAAGTGCGGTGCCCATATAGCTTGTGGGATTCATTCTCATGGTCAGCTCTTCGAACGCGTGTTCGTTCAGACACGGACTGCAGCAGCATCTTGTCTTCTGGATAACTTGACCAGTAACTATGCCACCTCCTCTCTTTTATTTTCTGTTTTTTTTTTTTTTTTTTTCGTCGAGACAACTGTCTTGTCCTCATATGGGGGACGGTTATATGTTTTAGTACCCTATTTTCTTCTCTCAATACTTTTTTCTCGCCTCACACTAGCTATGCATTTCAGAATCTACGCCCTTACCCTCAAACCCAACTATGCCACCTCTTGTGCTTCCTCAACTTGTCTCCCTCAAACCCAACTGTGCCACCTCTTGTATTTCCTCAACTTGTCTCTTTTCAAACGGTTCCACGCTCGTGCTACCTGGACTTCAAGTTCTTGACAGCAATGTAGCATAGCTCATCACATGGTGGATCACATGGTGGGTAGAAACCCAGGAAATTCAATGAAGAAGGGGGAAGTCGTCAAAGCCTAATTCATCAGGGGGAAACAAGTCGAGTGTTTTCGTAAGAAGAGCATCGTGAGCATGCAACGGATGTCAATCATGTCATTGATTGCAGGTGGGGACGACTGACGCAGTGACTTCAATACCATTGATTGGAGGTGGGGACAACTGATGCGGTGACTTCAAGACCTAATACAATATACTATTTGTTTGCTGGAGGGGAGTAAGTACGGTAGTTGCGGTACAGAGTTCATTTGCGAGACATTTCAGTTATCCTGCCAGAATAGAGTTTGAGATGATTGATTCATCGCTGGGATGAGTGGGATGGTAAATTGGTAATTTTGGTAATTACTTCAGGTTTAATTCTTTGAACTACAATGTTAGAATTCTCCTGCTGGCTCAGAGTCTTAGAATTTGGAACATCAGCCTGAGGCTGAGGGCATACTCACACGCCGACACGCCGACACACTGGGATCTGATATGACCTTAAATCCCAAAATTTGAGGCAGTTTTCCGGTCACATTGGAGAGGTACGCTACCCGAATGTACTTTTGGCGACCCTTCTGCCGCGGGAAGAGCCTTTTACGGTTTAAAATTTACTTTTCCAATTTTTTTTTTTCTCTCTCCAAGTCGAGCTATTGCAAGAATTTCAAATTCATGCATGAGGAAAACTGTTACAGCCGTGCGGTGTGCATGTTAGTTTAGCATTGAAGGGGGGGGAAAAAGAAATAAACTCTCATATATTTTTTGGGCCGGGGTAAGCAGTGCGACTACGTGCACA